TCAAGAACGACCTGAATTCTTGGCAGGCTGGAAAGGGTAACCCAAGCCAGGAGCCGTGGCCCATTCTCTTTCTTTCCGATAAATGCATTTATTTAGTGGCGACCAAATTTATATTCCAGCCTATCGCGAGACTCTAAGATGGTTTATAGCAGGGATATACGCGATGCAATATCAAGAATAAACCTATCGCTTCGTTATGCATATCCCTGCTGTAAACTATAAAGCCCCAAAACACACAATGGTTTTCAAATATAGCCAGTTCCAGTTGAAATGTTTTTGGGGGAAGAGAAAACAGCTACGTTTCTCGCCATAAGTGTGTATACATCTGAACTAGGCTGTGTTGTTTCTCTGTGTCACAAAATATATGTGGGTAGATGCATAATTTTGCATTTATTTATTTATCTTGTCATGTTTATGTAGTGTAAAATTGGAGGTGGTTGTTCTGACCTAGGCTTCACGAAACAGATTCCTCGTCCCGATAAAACCCTTTTTATTTAAGTGAAAGAGAAATTCCTCTCCAGCAAAATCCTGGCAAACAGTCTTTCAGGAGATTGCACAACTATAGACCTTTATCAGGCTAGGAGACTGGCCAAGCCAATATCTTCCAAACGCCACTCTGTAGCAGAAATTACTTGGCAAGGAGTCAGGAATAGATCTTCACCCTAATTAAATGAACTAATTGTCTCCTGCAAACTCCACTCCCAAGTTGACCCTTGTTCCTTAACTGTTCCCTTCTCCTGGCAGCTCTGTGCATGCGCACACTGGGAACAGGCTCCAGCTGTTCTTCTTCCCCACTGATCTCCAACTCCGAAGGCAGCTGATAACTGTCGGATGGCTCTGGCCCCATCTCTGCCTCTGATGCACAGCCCTTGTCAGAGCCTTCCCCAGACTCCAAGACTGGCCAATGTTCCTCCCCAACCTCCTCACTGTCCACGTCTGCCACCAACTCCGCTGACCACTGGCGGGCCACAACACTGGTGACCCTTTAAGAGCTGTAGGCAATGAAATTTCATTTTCAACATATGCCGATTAGTGTACATTCAAAGTAGACAATAAAGTTGTTCCATTCTAAAATTGCAACTTTGAAGAGTTTGGTAGTCCTCAACGTACAACAATTTGTTTAGTGACCTTTGGAATTACAAGAACACTGAAAAAAGTGACTTATGACCATTTCTCTCTCTTGCAGCAACAGCAGCCTCACAGACACGTGGTCAAATTTCCACTGATTCGTATTTATGACGGTCGCAGTTGTCCCGGGGGTGTGTGTCATGTGATCCCTTTTTGCAACCTGAGTCAATTTGGGAGCCAGATTCACTTAAGAACCGGGTTACTAACTTAACGACCACAGGGATTCACTTAAGAACAAGGAAGGAAGTTCGTAAAATGAGGCATGACTCACTTAAGAACCGTCTCGCTCAGCAACGGAAATTGGCGGCTCAATGGCAATTGTAAAATCAAAGATTGATCTGTACTGCAATTTCCTCCAGAGGAGCTAAATCCCATGGCTGGATTTAAGCTGCCCTGGACTTGAGGTGGGATTCCTTGAAGATTTTCTGCCTCCTGTGTTGTGCAAAGAGGACACAACCACACACGCACAGCCTCTGCACACTGCCAATTTGTATAGGAGACGTGCAATTAAAAGGGGTGTTTTTTTTTCCTGCCAACTCAGGGAGAAAGCTCTGCGTGTGTGTGTGTGTGTGTGTGTGTGTGTGTGCGCGTGTGCGTGTGCGTGTGTGTGTGTGTGTGTGTGTATTTGCAAGGAACAAAAGGCCCAGCTATGGGAAAACAGCTGTAGGATTTCCCTTGGCCACCATGGGTGGCAAGGAGATTTTTCACACTGTCTGTGTCCCCCACCCCAAGATCCTTTGAAAGGGGGGGAAGCTACCAATTGAACCCAGTTTCTGTGCCCCACTCTAAGATAAAGCCTTAGTAAGATTACACCTAGAGTACTGCATGCAGTTGTGGTCACCACACTCTAAAAAAGATGTGGAGACTCTTGAAAAAGTGCAGAGAAGGGCAACAAGGATGATGAGGGGACTGGAGGCTAAAACGTACAATGAATGGTTACAGGAACTG